AATTTATGCGATGGAGTTTTACTCAGCAGTAAAGAAAGATGAAATCATGAAATTTGCAGGCAAATGTATGGAACTAGAAACTGTTATACTAAGTGAAGTAACTCAGACTCAGAAAAAAAATTGACCTCTGTTCTCCCTCATATGTGGATCCTTGAACCAAATCCTGATAAGTATCCAGGCATAACTACAGGAACCAGGATAATGGAAAGGAACCAGGGAGGTAAAGGAAAATAAAGAACCTGAAAGAGAAGAACAGTAGGAAATAGGCATTAATAAGGGAGATGTGGATAAAAATTGGGTTAGTTTAAGGGAGGGAAGGGTATACAAGGAACCTAGGGGATAAAGGGAAAGAAAGAGATCAAGAGAGGTAGGACCATAGGAGAAGGGTATTAATAAGGGAGAAAGAAGAAAAAATGGGGACACCTTGATTGAGGAAACCATGATGGAGGGGTTAGACAATGCGGGAGGCAAATAATGCCTAGCTAGTTTTAAAAACCAGAGGGAACCACATTAGTCCAACAACCTACTGAGAAATTATACATACCAGATTAAGAAATATATGTCTTGGCAAGGTTTATCTGAGAACACTGGCACACAGTAATTAAAAGTACCAGACTCGGGGAACTAACCTTCTTGGATGTTTAATAGACATACTTTGAGTCCTATACTAATTTGGTCAGAGGGGCATAAAAGACAGTTTTTGCTCCTTGCCCTCCTAGGTCAACTAGTTCCAGGGGCAAAGCCAACAACCATAGTTACATCAGATCATCATAGGTACACCATACCATAGCAGGTCAGATAACAAAGAAGTTTTCGGTTAACAAAACATTTTGGTTAGGCTGAGAGGGAGGGTGTGCTACCTGGACATGCTACCTGGTTATTTGTAAGTTTCCCAGTATTCAAGTGAAGCCAGCCATGGTTGAGCAGGACCTTTGACTTATCTTCACATAGATGGAACTGGTAAAAGAAAGGAGCCAGGCTCTCCTCCCAAGACCATGTGACCCCTGAGGAAGCAATCTGGAAACAGCCTCAAGAGAAAAATAATTGGTTTATTTGGGCCAACTGTATGGCCTTAAACACCCAAAAGGAAAGGATAACCAAAGTAAAGGGGCCAATATAAAATTGTAAGAGTCCATATGCATAGCTAAAGGCTACATAACAAGCAACAATGCCAGATAGGCGATACCTTCTTTTGAGTTGTTGGCCAGGGTGGCCCAAGGGACTCCCAGGTAGTAACCCAGCATAGAACTGGGAAAATGAACAGCAGATCCCTATCTTATTTAAAGGAATATTAACAACTGCTTGCTTCTAGGTGAGGAACAGGTGACCTTCCTAAAACAAAGACCTCTAGATAGGCTGACTAGAGTCACCAGATAGACAAGTAGTGGGGAATGGCTGGGGGTGCCAACAACACAGTGGACAGTAGCAGGGATGACTGCATATAAGGACTCTAGTGGCGGCAGGGGGCGGGTAGGCTATGGGACGGTCCCATCTGGGATGTGCGTGTATAGATGAATAAGATGGTTTGGGATGTTCTGTGCGATATATACACAGATAAAAAATCAACTAAAAAAAAGAATTATATTTGAGGAGGGAGCATAAAAACTCATGTAATGTTAATTGGTAGAGCTGATAAACATTACCATTGAAATCTACCCAATGACTTTATAGACATAAACATGTGCCAAAGATCCAAGTGCAACTGATTATGACTAGTAATAATGAGATACATACACATTAGAGACACATGTGCCAACATCACAATGTTATTAGCAAAAACAATGAGTCTTTCTGTAAGAAACAGTATATGTTAAAATGAAACAGAGATCTTTTTTAAAGGTTAAAAACTCATTCAATTTTATGTCTTACTGGGTTTTTGCTGAGTTCAATATTTTATAACTGTATTAATGCAACAGTGAACCTAAAATTTTTATAGCCACTTTTGAAAGAGATGTATTTTTGTTCTGGAAACTGTTATTGAGTATGTTTAAAGCTGTAATGAAATGCTTCTAAAAAAGAAAAAAAATTAATCTTTTCAATGTTTTAGGAGAAACATAAGATTTAATAAGATTTCTGATAAAAACTCAGCTGCTTGAATCATTTTTGTTATCAAAATTCAGTTTACCTTTAGAAAGAGTTGAATATCTAGCCTTGTGTCTGCATAGATCAGATACCTGATAACTGTTCCTTGAATGAGTGAAGGATTTAATTAGTGAATCAGACTTTCTTTTGCCCATGATACTAGTTTTGGAAAGTTATTGAGAGTAAGTATGAGATGAATATGATGAAAATAAAATTAATAGTAATCTATAAAATCTAATTACCCGGTAGTTGTATGTCTCAAGGTTAATCGTTTTGAATTTTTTATTTTTATTTTTTGGTGAATTTTTTGGGGAATCCTTTTCCAGCTTCCCATTTTCAGGTTTATTTTGTGCTACAGAGAAGATAGAAGCTGATCATAGGCATGATAAGGCATTTATGTCATTTAAATTGACTCAAAGTCCCAAAACAAATTTCTAAAAGCCTTCTGTAAGTGATTACAAACTCTGTGAAAGTCACTGCAAACTCTGTGAAACTATCATTAGGGTGACCTCAGAGAAGAATATAATCACAGAAAAAAACAAAAGATGTCAAACTTTCCCCAACCAGCCATCAAGGGACCCTCTGCAAAATTGGAGGATAAAGTTACAAAGGGGCTCTTAGATCTGCAAAGCTCAGCCTGTGATACCAAAGAAATTAATCCCCAGAAATTTTATTTCCATGGGAAATATCTCACCACTGAAACAATGGGGTTGTTCAAGCTAACAGAGCAGTGTGCTTTTTACCATTGCCTGTCTCCCTCTGGGAAAGGGCAATAAAGTTCAATGGCTTGGCTCTTCTGTCTGCTTTTATTAAAATTTGAAGGGCAGTTAAATAGGAAGTAGCAGAGAAGGTGTGTGTGCTAAGGCATGTCAGTGTTCATTTTCTAGAGTTATATATTCTCCCTTATATCATGTATGCCACTTCTAAGATTTTTCCCCTGTAATCTATAAGAATCACGTAAACTTTGTCATTGGTTTCATTTTCTATAATGACTAATGTCTTATGTATATTTCTGTTTGACTGATTTGATTTATATTTTCTTAAAAACTGCTTTTAATGTTTTCCTTGGCATATGTTAATTATACATAATAACAGATTTCATTATGACATTTTCATATCTGTACATACTGAGTTTCAACCATGTTTTCCCCATTGCTCTCTCTTGTCCTTGTCCTGCTAGTCCCCTCCCTCTTCCCAACAGCCTCCCTTCTACTTTCATGCCGGTTTTTGTGACCCAATGAGGTGCTATACAGTTATTTATATGAACAAGGGTGAGGGCTTGTTAATGGAGCATGGGTATTTCACAAGTGACTACACCACTGAAGAAAATGTCTCTGCCTTCCCTATCAACACTTAATTACTTACAAATCCTCAGAGTGGGATGGGGCCTGTATCAGTCACTTTTCTGTTGCTGCAATAGAAGCACCATAACCAAGGGAACTTATAAAAGGAAGAGTTTATTTGACCGTATGGTTCCAGGGGAATTAAAGTCTGTCATGGTGGGGAGGCATGGCGGTGGAGGTGGCAGGAGTAGGAGCAGAAGCTAAGCACTCACACCTTCAAGCAGGCTTAGGAAGCAGAGCAAGACTGGCGATCTGGCAAGGCTTAAGATCTCTCTAGACCAGCCCCTAGTGATGTGCTTCTTCCAGCATGGCCCCACCTTCTAAAACCTCCCTAAACAGCACCACCAACTGGGGATAAAATGTGTAAATATTTGAGGACATTCTCATTCACATCACCACAGGGCAGCATAAGCTCCTCCCCATTCCATGACAGGATGCTGATGATTCAGTCCCAGGTCCTCATGGTTACACAGCAAATGCTCTTCTCCAGTAAGCTATCTCTCTGGCCTCCTTTTGTGCTATTTCTGAATTTCTAAGTTATATATCTGTTCTTTTAGTGTTATTCTTAAAATGTCAGTATGTATTTCATTATCTCCTTTTCTTTGTTTTGAGACAGGGTCTTACTATGTAGCTCTGTCTGGCCTGGTACTTGCTTCATAGCTCAGGGCAACCTCAAACTCACACTCAATCTCCTGAGTGCTGTTATTGCAGGTGTGTGCCACCAAGCACAGCTCTAACTAGAAGTCTGATTTGTACTATCCATTGCACCTCCATTGCACCATGGAGCTACCTCCTAGATTTAGCTGTACCTGTTTAAAAAGACAATATAAACTCATTAGATATTTGTGTCATGTTTTGAAATGCACTGTGGGTTTACCACACTTTGATTAGTCATTGATCTTGTACACATACCATAATCCTCAGTGTTGTAGTTATCAGGATTTTGCACACCCAGTTTATTTCTTTATACTCACTAGCAGTACATTTGTTGAGTATGTTCATTTTTCTTTTTTTTCATTGGTTATAATTTGTGGCTCCTTTTTTCCTGATAATCTTAACTTTTCCTTGATACTTTTATGTTCCCAACATAGGCTTTGATTGTTCTGTAAGAGCTGAGAATGGTTCTTATGTTTGAGTGATTTTTTTTTGGGGGGGGAGTTATTTATTTATTGATACTCACTATGTAGACTTGACTGGGCTATATAGAACTTGCTTATTGACCAGGTTGACTCAGAATGCATAGAGATCTGCCTGTCTCTGATTCTTGAATGCTGAAATTAAAGGCAATGCACCACTACCCATGGCTATAGCTGTGTCATTCCAGTGTCTTTTGGAGTATGTGGTGATGGTAAATCTAATTTTAGTATAACCACCTATCTTTTCTCTGAAAGCTTTTGTTTGTGGAGCTTTTTTTTTTTTTTTTTTTTTTGAGCCGGGTTCCCCCTTTAGCCCCAGCCAGTCTGGAACTCACTATGTAGACTAAGCTGGCCTTGAATTCACAGAGATCTGCCTGCCTCTCCCTCCCCAGTGCTGGGATTAAAGGCATGCACCACAATGCCTGACTGTTGTGCTTTTAATGTTTATTTTAACTCTGTATCTTAACTTGCTTGGTGTTCAGAATAATATTTTAATTTATAAACAAATTGAATCTTTTCTCCACTTTCAGAAAATTCTCAGTGTTTTAAATTTTGAACTGAGCACTATCATATATTCATAGAGTACAATATTTTTCAAATATTTTTCTTTTCTTATGGTTCCTGTTGCTTTTTCTCCAGAGAAAGATATTAGTCTTCCTTAAAGATATGTTCTGAAGCCAGGCGTGGTGGCACATGCCTTTCCAGCACTTGGGAGGCAGAGGCAGGCGGATCTCTGTGAGTTCAAGGCCAGCCTGGTCTACATAGTGAGTTCCAGGACAGCTGGGGCTACAGGGAGACCCTGTCTCAAAAAGACAAAAAAAAAAAAAATGTTCTGAGGAAAAATAATGTTTCAAATAAAATAAATAGAAAATAAGAGATAATATGTATATTATACCTTTAAGCATGAGAAAACAAATATTTGAAAAAATGAACATCCAAAATAATGGAGAGTTGAGGCTTGGGGAACCCAAGTACAGTAGAATTATAATAGAAAAGTAGGATGAAATTCAGCATAGATGAGAGAACTGAGGTAGAATCAGAGCACTGTAAGGGTGACTGATACACATTCAGTAAAGAAAAGCTACTGGTGTAGAAAATGTAAGAACAAAAAGTATTTCTGTCTTGTTTTATGCCCATTGAGTAATTTTCAACCAGTGTGTGTTGTTAGTTTAATTATTGGCAATTTTGACCTGAAATATTTCCAGTTTTGAATATATTAATGATCCCTCCACCTTTCCTTTATCTGTTCCAGTGTGGCCTGGGAAGACAATTTGTTAGATGATTTACTAAATTTTGCTGCCACCCCCAAAGGATTACTGCTTCTTCAAAGAACAGGTGCCATCAACGAATGTGTGATGTTTATGTCCAACCAATATGCAAAAAAACTACAGGTACGAATTACCATTTTTATAGTGAAAAGGAGTTTTATTGTTATTAATCATTAAGAAAATCATTCTGTTTTCTGTGAATGAAGAGATTATTAAGCTTCAATTAAATTCCCTTGTAGCATTATCGCACTTGATTTTTTTTATTTTTTATTTTTTTGGTCTTTTTGAGATAGGGTCTCCTTGTAGCCCCAGCTGGCCTGCAACTCACTGTGTAGACCAGGCTGGCCTTGAACTCACAGAGATCCTCCTGTCTCTGCCTTCCAGGTACTGGCATTACAAAAATGTACCACTCTACCCTATGACTCATTATTAATAAACCCTATCTCAGCCCTGACAACTCTATCTTGACCTGACCTCCAGAGTCACAGAATTATATAGTATTATACTCTCTGTCTGATTCTATATATATTTTAATGGAAAGCTTTACTGGTGGATACTGGTGTTTATGGCTGTGTTTCAAACATGCAAACATCCAGATGGAATTGAAAAATTCAGTTAATTATTCAGTTGTTTACATGAATATGATGTAATACATCTCTATGCACCAAAACTGGGTTGAGCTTCTGGACAAAAACCCTATTAAGTCTAAGTGTGTATATCAATGAGGATTTAGGCCTCAGGCGTTTTCAGACACAAACTTAGCTTTAGGGGGATTCTGTTCAACTGTTAAATAAAATTTACTGAGTAATTTATATAATCAGGTAGTCAGAAGTAATTGAGTTATACTTGGCTGTTTTTTCCATCACAGTAGAAGTCCTTAGATTTCTAGCATTTTAGTATCTTAGGTATGCTCTTGAAGACATTTCTCTGCAGAGCTCCTTGGCTTTTTGGCAAAGATCAGGACTGTTGGTGGTGGTGATGGTGGTGTGTGTGCATGTGTGTGCCTTTGTGTCAGTGTGTCTGTGTGTATGTGTGCACAGGTGTGCATGCCTGTGTGTGTATATAGAGGGTAGCAGTTGATGTTGGGTGCTTTTCTCAGTCCCCCCCCACACTTTTTAAATATATCAGTTGTTTAATTAGGTTCTTAGGTTCTTGGCAAGAAATTTAGAACACCCATTTCTGAGGATAAATTCTGCTTGTTAAAGCAAAAGAGGATGGCTTGTGTCCCTGGAACTAAGGAATAGCTTTGATCTTTTACAAAATTTGAGAGTCCACAGCCCTGCCCTGCTCTGTGTTCTCTAATTTTCTTTTTCTGTTGGCTTCTGGTGTTTGGGCTTCTGTAGCTGCTTTTCCTGGAAGTGAGCATGTGTAAGATATTTGGGGATCTCTATATCACTGATACCAGTTTTTGTGGAGGTGGCAGCAACACATTTCTAGTGTGTTCTGTGCTGAGGAACTTAGTTGAGGGAAAGAGGTCCAGTTACAAATAGCAGGCCACTGCCCAGCTGCCTCAGAAAAAGCATTTTCCTTCCTTGTGGCGGCCCCTGAGGATGATTGGGACTGTGAATGGTGCTGATGCTCATGTCTCTATTAAGCCATCTGAAGGGTTTCTTGTCCTGGCTCAGCAGTTTCTGAGGCAAGTCTTTGGTAGGCTAATATCTAGGCACTTTGCAAAGCTTGACACCTGGATACCAACATTTTCTTTTTCCTTTTCAGCCTTGATATAGCAGCTGAGTACTTACTTTCTCTTGTAGAGTGCTTATCTGGAATAGATGGCAAATTGGGCATATCTGCCAATTCCTCTAACCAAGACAGGCTTTTGGCTGCCGTGGGGCTTCTTCTTCAGCTTTCCATCCTTAGTGTAACCCTGTTAGCCATATCTATAGTTAACATGCCTCTGGCTAGCTATGCCTATGGCTAACCATTGCCTACAGTTAGCCATGCCTACGTCACTGGCACCTGCCTTCTTGGCTGTAGATTTCTTCCTCTTGGTGTCTGGCTCCTCTGCTTTTTCACCTACCATCTTGCAATATGGGAAAGAGCTCTACCATAGGTTTTGTGACAGGGTCTCTCACTGAACCTGGTTCTCACCAGTTTGGCTAGGCTGACTGGCCAGCAAGCCCCAAGGGCTAGCTTGCTTTCCTGCCCTCCCTCTCTCCCTCCCTCCCTTCCTCCTTCCTTCCAGGCTCTGGGGGTTTGAACTCAGGTACTCATGCTCATACACCAAGCACTTTACTAACTGAGCTAGCTATCTTCTCAGTAACTGGTATCAGTTCTTAGATTAAAAACTGTTCTTTTCTTATCTCATATAGCTGTTTTGATGTTTTTATGTTACCTGATAGCAAGTACTGTTTTTTACCCCTTTTGGTCTTTAATTCTAATTTCCTTCCTTTGTTTAAAGCTATAAAAAAATAAACAAACCTTATTTATTTATTTATTTATTTTGCTCTCTACCTATGCAGAATAAATAGTTCCTGAGTTAGGACTCTGGCCTTTCTTCCTTGAGCAAAATATGTCTGTTTGTTCGTGTGGGCTTGTGATGTTAGGTGTGTTTGTGCTGCTGCACTTCCGTTTTGCATATTGAAGTGGACTCTGAGTATAGAGAATTTAGTTACTTCTGTGCTGCAATTTATGTCATACTGTCCACATCCATCTATATAAGTTCCTACTTTGTTTTATTTATTTTATTCTAGTGTCATTCCTGATTGCTAGTTCATTTCACCCTCCACACATTTCCAAACCATAAGCTTTTATATTTATGTTTAATATATGTACACACATACAGTTATACACACAATTATTTTAAATTCTTCCAAAGCTGAGTTTGAAGCTCTTCTTGTATACTAATTAACTGTTTAGATTTTCTGTTTTGTTTATACTGTTCGCAGTTTTGAAAGCATGCAGGCAATTCAAACACATCTTTTTAATTCAGGTGCCTCAGATCAGGCAGGCACAGCTTTAGATGGTGCACCTAAAATTAAATGTCATTTTTTATGTTCATAAATTCTAAAAGGTAGTATTCTTTGCATTACACTAACTGCTTACATAGAAGATACTGTTCCTTGACTTCAGGAATTGACATCCTACAGGTCTTTACCATCTTCATTAGCATATTTATCACACTTTAATGCTACTCTGTTAGTCAAGATTGTTTTTCCCCATCATTTAGATCCTCAGATATTTTGCAGAAAGCATGAAGGCTAGGTTATTTTTTTAATGCGATACATGAGGAAGTAGAGACTCAGGCCAGTTACGCAGTCTGTTTTATAGATCTGTTAGTTGGCTAGTTAAAATTGTAAGATGAAATCTCAGATTTCTTGTTTGTGGTCTTTGAGTGTCCATGAAGACTAATCTTGTTTTAAAAAGAATCTCTAATTTCTGGTGATTTTTTTTCCCCCCTTATTTTCCGGAGTTTGTGGGAACCTAGGAAATATAGTGGTTGCTATTATCTGGATAACCAGGGCCAGTGGAAGTGATAAATAAGGCGTTTCTTTGTTTATTATAGGGGAAGCAGGGGAGGGGACAGGTATTCATCTTGAAGTTCTATGCCACATAGCTGCGGAATGGTGGGTTGTAAGGAAAATGGGAAATAGGAGTAACAAGATAGTAAAGGAAGGCTGGCTTATAAAGAAATAGGCAATAGAAAGTTGGTAAAATAGACCTAATTTTCTACATGTCTATCAGCTCCTTTTTAGTTACATTTTTGCCCTTAAAATTGAGTATACACTTTAAAAATTTGACATTAAAACAGGTGCTTTAAATGAAATGTTTAAAAATATGAATTCTGAATGGACTACCTCTGTTCTGTTCAGAAGTCAGACTTTTTTTTTTTTGTCTTTTTGAGACAGGGTTTCCCTGTAGCCCCAGCTGGTCTAGAACTCACTATGTAGACTAAGCTGGCCTCAAACTCACTAAGGTCTGCCTGCCTCTGCCTCCCAAGTGCTGGGATTAAAGGTGAGTGCCACCACACCTGGCCAGAAGTCAGACATCTTAAAAGCTGACATGTTGGTTAAAGTCTGATGAGTGTCATGTTCTTTTACTTCCTTATTCTGATTAATGCTAAGATATGAACTCACTTCCCTATCTACTCTGAGCAGGTGTGTTCTCTGTAAAATGACAAGTACTTAAAGGTTTTTATAACACTCTTTCAGAGACTGATGTATTAATGATTAGAATTTGGGTAGCTCTTTATTAGGCACAAAAATTGTATTTCCTTTAAAAATAGTTATTTTAAGGAAAACTGGTTTTTGTTTTCTTAAAAGTCTGTTTAAGCATCTTGCAGTCAATATACTTATAAATGAAGAAATGACCTAAAAAGCAATAATAGAATAATAAAATTTAGAGTTGGAGATCATCCTGTTTTTGTCTGATCTAAGTCCCATTCCTTATTTATGAGAAGACTTGGACCAGGAGTAGGAAGTGATTTGTTCAGGTCAAAGAGCTGGGAGCAAACGGATATCAGAAATAAAGTCATCAGAAGTACCACATTAGTACAAACTCACTCTGACTTGGTTGGTTTGTTTTTGCTGCTCTTATCATCTGGAAGTTACTTAAAATCTTCTAATCTTTAATTTGTAAAGCAATGGCATGCTGTGGTTTTGTTGTTTTTGCATCTGATTGCTGTTCTTTATGGTAGATGGACAGGCAGAAAAAGTTCAGCTATGAAGTTTTGGTGGTGCAGGTGGCGTCCACGGCAGCAGGGGCAGTAGCTCTACAAAATTCAGGCAAGTCTGTTTTCCTCATAAACAAAATTGTGATTATTATAAATAAAATGATGATGCCAACTGAAAGCAGACACATTAAGTACCAGAATATTTTTCTCTCTAAAGTTCTACTTCCCAGTTTATCACTATATAAGAGATTTACAAGATTGTCTTTGCTCTTCCATGAAATGTCACTGGTCATTATTTTTTCTCTGAAATACACATATTCTTATTCTCCTTTTTTATCTCTTTAGAACAGTGGTATCTGATGATCTAAGCAAAAACACACCCAATGACTAAAGAATCATTCCTCATTCTATACGACAAAAGGATGTGATTTTCTCTTGATATAACTATGTCTAACAGAATTGTTCAGTGTTTAGTTAGGTGGATTTTCTTGTGCATCCAAATTGACAGTCATCGTAGCGGTCACACATCTGTACCATTTGCTTATTCCCTTCCTTCCTCTTCTCCAGTGGAAAGCATTTGTGTCACTGTGGAGCCCTCACACTATCTTTGAAGTTTGCTATCAATATGTGTTCTCCACTATCAATTGCATTTTTAGGAAAGTAAGTCACTGGGGTTTTAATATGCCATATGTTATGGTTTATGGAGCCCTCAACAAGATAGAATTCGTGATAGAAAGGAAATGATTCTATTTCCCATGTTAGAGTTGATGAATCATAACATCAGTAGGAGTGATCACTATTGATTCTCTGCTTAAAACAAAATACTTTGCTGTATTTAAACATTATTATGTTTTTGCTCAACTAATTTGGGCTACTTATATAATGAAATGTTTCTTGATAAAAATGACCCTAAACTGAACCAAATATTTCTTCTTACTTAGAATAAAATACATGTAGTATTATAGACAGGAATGCAGTAACAGAGGCATTTGAAAACTATATTTAATCCAAGATTCTGCATGTCATCAGCTAATTAAGATTTTGAATCTCATACTAGCAACTTCTCCTGAGAGGATTAAATGTAATTTTTCATAGGTCAAAGATGACTTCTGGCCCTTGAGCTCCTTTATCACAGATACTGAATTTGGAGCTTTGCATGCATCGTCCCGTTTATATGCCATAGGAACTCCAGAATTAGTATTTTTATTTCAAATGAGGAAACTGGGCTAGCTAGTAATATGGAAAATTTAAAATTTGAATTATGATATTTTCAGTTTTAAAGGCTGCATTTACCCGGTTGTGCCAGAAAACCCTTGTTTCTCTAATTTTGTTCTGAGCTTACTGATTTTATGATTAGATATTACATTTTATACTCTCATGTATGATTTGAGGAATTTAATAATCAGGTTTAATATTGATTTTCACTTATCATATAGTATTTGACTCATGTGAATCTAAAGAACTCCCTGAAACAGGAGTTGTATAAAGCACGTGCTTGCTTTAAGAAGGGCATGGGCACATTCCCTTTGTGGCCAGTCTACTTGCCTGTGCCTCTTTTCTTTTCCAACCCCTCCACATGTCCTTTGCTGTTTCCTAGGGAAATACTTTCTTAGATTGATTCATTATAGAATTTTATGGTGATGGGATGCTGTAAAAATATATTAACAATAACAAATAGCATTTCTATCAAGGATAGAGATTATTGTTATTTCTATAAGATGCAAGTATTTGTCTTCAGTGAAAGAGTAAGTCTTTCCATAAGGATAATCATATCTTCCATAAACTAAAGGCATATTGTACTATAAATATGACATAAAGTAATCTTTCTTCCTAGGGTTTATTAATGCACTCATTACTGAATTATGGTCCAATCTTGAATGTGGAAGAGATGATATAAGGGTAACCCATCCTAGATCTACTCCAGTGGATCCTATTGATCGAAGCTGTCAAAAGGTAAGAAGTCAGTTGATATAATAATGCGTAGATTTGAAGTGTATTTCACAGAAATGGCTTCAAGGAAACTTTACCCATGTCAGTTATAAGCAACAAGCTTTCTAAAGTATACTTTTCCCTTTTTAATATCTAAAAACATTTTTCATTTGAAAAATAAATTTGGTGAACTGTCAAAATACCAATATTTCCTTGGAAAAATGTCTTGGCAGGATAATTTTCATTTATGTTATTTTTAGTAGCGTTTTTCTTTCTTAATAAAATGTAATAACATAGCAGATATGTTATGAAAAAGTGGGTCCCTAAAACAAGTACAGCCCAGGTAACCAAAGCAAAACTCCAGGAAGCTGTTTGCCCTTAGGTTTGAATCTAATAGAAAATTGTCTGGGTTATTTGAAAGAACTGCAGGCAGAGGGAAAATGCTCTTGTTTAGAGGAGAGCAGCACAGTGGTTTTTGTTTTTGTTTTTGTTTTTTAGTACTCACACAACATTCTGTTAAAATTCAGTGACTTTTATACATTTGACATATTCTCCAAATTTCAGTAATTTGAGGTCATGATTCCTAGCTGTGACTTTATGATAACCTGCACAATTTCTAGTGAAAGGATGCTATCAAATTACTTAAAATAAAATCCCCAGCATTCCAGAAGCTAGTATTTCTATGATGTTAGACCAATTCACTGCAGTAAAACACATAAACATTAGAAAATAATTTAAGAATAAAATGGTTAAAAGTGTTTCAGTGACCAAAATGTGCAGAAAACTGACAGGATTGAAATTTAGACTATTGCTTCATATTCTGTATTTAATAGGTTTTTACTGGAAAAGTACCAGTTGGTGTTCCACAGATTAAAATGTACTGTCTAAAGCTTATAGAATGGAATACTGACTTTGAGGTTATTTGGTGCTAGAAAATGGAGTGGGTCCTGGAAAGACAGAACTGCAGAGAAGGTACTGCAAACTGTACGTGTACTCTGCCTGTGTGTATGATAGCCCCTAAACTATGAACTGAACATGTAAACTTTGCAGGAGTATCACTGCTGCCTACCTCACTGTCAGAATTTGAATCCAGCCAATGTAACTGTGAAAAAAAATCAGTTATTTTCTTTATACCAATAATGAACATGCTGTGAACGTCACTTTAAAAAATCTGATCTTCCAGGGCTGGGTAATAACTCACTTGGTATAGTGCTTTTCCTGCAATCACAGGGATGTAAGTTTGATCCCAGAATCCACGTTAAAAACAACAAAAAACAGGGCTGGTGATGTGACCTGTGGGTTAAGGCACTAGTTGCTCAGCCTAACTGAGTTCAGTCTCCAGGACCTACATGGTGAAATGAGAGATCGATTCCTGAAAGTTGTCCTCTGGCTTCCACATGCATGCTATGACATTCCCTCCTCCATTCCCCACACAGAATAAAAAAATGTAATACATGAAAAAATTAAAAACAAAACCAAAAAAATTCTTGAGCATAGTAGTTCCGTTGTGCCTGTATTCCACTGCTGCGGAGGGTCAGACAGGTCGATACTGGGGCTCGTTGGCCAGCCGGCCTAGCTTATTTGGATTCCAGGCCAGTGAGATACCATGTCTCATGAGAAAGGTAACCAGCACCTGAGAATTGACACCCAAGGTTTTTTTCTGGCATCCACACAGAAATGCACACATGGATACACATAACACACAGACACAGACACACACACAGACACACACACGCACGTATTTTCGAAGTGCATTTTGAAAGTGTGTGTGTATGTGTATGTATATATTTTGAAAGTACATTTTGAAAGTAGCCCTAGAAAATCGTCATCACATAAAAGAGTAGAACAGTTTGTTAGTAACTCATTAGAGACAGTGGAGGCCAGAAGGCATTGCAGTATCCTTATTGTGCTGAGAGGAAAACGAAAAATTTCAACCCCCACTTCCAAATCCAGCAAAATACACTTCAGTAATAAAAATGAAGAAACATTAGCTAATAGATAGTTAAGAAAATATCAGCAAACCTACATTTCACATGTTAAAGGAAGAGAATGTTGTGAGATGCGGGTTGGAATAAAGAACGTTTCAGTCATGACAAGTATAGAATACTATGGATGTTTATGTATATTATTTCAATCCTCAGTGTGACTGTAAGCCAGGCATCATTCTGAGGAACAGTTGACCTATGAGTACTTAGATAATAATGGCCTTCAAATTGTTGTCACAATTTCTCTTCTTTTTTCCCCAACTTGCTTTAGTCTGTGTCATTCTCGCCACAGTTTTCTTTCCTCTCAGACTTGTATTCTCCTGAAGTTACCTTAATAAAAATATTCTATTTTTTATCACTGAGAATTTTATACATATATGCAGTGTATTTTGAGCATATCCATCCCTCCTTCTCCCTCAACTTGCCTCCCAGCATGTCCCTCCCCAAACTTTAGATGGTCTCCTTTTTTCTGTAACCAAGTCCAGTTAGTATTGTCCTTATGCACATGGGTGCTGGGCCACCCATTGGAGCATGGGCAACCTACCAGGACCATATCCCTGAAGAAAGCTCTCCTCCCAGCCACCATTAACTGCTCCTTTGCTAGGGGTAGGACCATGTGAATCCCTCCCCTATCTATGCTGGATTGTTGAGTGGTTTGATCTATGAAGGTCTTGTGTAGGCAACCACAGCTGTTGTGACTTCATGAATGCAATGGCCCTATCATATCCAGAAGACACTTTTTTGAAGCAGTCCTCTGCAACCTCTGGCTCACACTAACTCTTACTTTCTGCTCCCTTCTTCTGCATTGTTTCTTGAGAGTTTGTGTGTGTGTGTGTGTGTGTGTGTGTGTGTGTGTGTGATAGATACCCACTTTATGACTTAAGCACGCCACAGACACTTATTCTCTGTAACTTGTTGTAAGTCTCTGTATTAACTGCTGTACACGGCAGACAAGTGTCTCTGAGGGCTAAGAGCTACACGAGCACCACCTATTCTGGTGTAAGAGGAATAACTGATATCTCTGCAATTCTTGAAACTTTGAAATTAAAATTAGTTTCTTACCTCTTGGTTTTTTTTTTTTTTTTTTTTTTTTTTTTTTTTTTTGGTCTTTTGGAGACAGGGTTTCCCTGTAGCCCCAAATGCCCTGAAACTGGCTATTTAGACCATCTGGCCTTGAATTCACAGAGATCCACCTGCCTCTGCTGGGATTAAAGGCCTGCACCACCTCTTAATACTGTTCATCACCTAAACTTATTTCCTTTAGAAAGTCTATCTAGAATGTAAACTATAATTTGTACTACTTTTATTTTTAAAAATATTTTATTTTATTTTATGTGTATCAGTGTATTGCTTGCATGAGTATAAGTGCACCCATGTTGTGCAATACCCACAGATGTCAGAGAGGGTGTTGGATCTCCTGGAACTGGACTTACACACATTTGTGAGCTGCCATATGGGTGCTGGGAACCGAACCCAGGTCTTCTGCAAGAGTAGCCAGTGCTTTGAACTGCTGAACCATATCTCTAGCCCCTGTACTTCTTTTCTGAAAACATTATTCCTTTATTCCTAGAGTGTGACTCCAGAGTTTATTAATGTACCATATCTCTGCATCCTTTCAGGTCAGCTCTCTGAACCATATCTCCCATCTCTCCTCTCTCTGCTATGTAGTGTTATCCTCCTGATGACCTCTGACCTTTCTGCATAGCACAGTACCATCAAGCCATTTAGGGTGCTGATTTGAATGATCTCACAGTGTATTTGTCCTGCATTACACTGTGAGTCCTTAAGGGCAGGGACTGTTAAAGGGGACTGTTCCCCTCTATTCATATTTTTATTACCATCTGGCACAGCTACTGATAGGTGGCTGGCATTAATGTGTTCTAGTGAAATAATAAATAGATGACCATTATCAGCCTTAAAAGTTTTTAATTCATAAGAAGTTTCTTGCTTTAAGTACTGTAAACTTAGCTGTCAACTTAACATTTGTCTAATCCTACCTTCTGTAAATTTCATTAGCATTGTTGCATAAAACCTTATTTTCCCAAAGCACTGTTGAGTAAATTTATGTTTTGTGCTGTTTCAAATTTTGGATAATATCTAATACCAGAGACATAGTTAATGTACTTCTGTGGTTACTGATGATTGCATTATAAATATTTTCAATTCCACAAGTGCTTAATACATTATAATTTTACAATATGCTGCGTATCTTTAAAAATGTCTCTTGTGTGAGAAATGTATTTGTTTCTTGCAGTAATCTTCTGAAATCTTCTCCAGTGTTTTAAAATTTGAATTCAAGTTATTTTTTTCAAATACAATCACTGAATTGTTTTCATCTAAAGCTCTACTTAATTTGTTAGGATAGCACATCAGAAATTGCTACAACTGTATATGGACAGAATTATTTCTTAGAAGGAGGGAAGTTCCGTAGACACTAGTGGAGTTATCTCTGTAAATAATAAGAAACCCTCAGTATCTTACTATATAATATATAGTGATAATCTGGCTTCCTATCAAAACAGGCATTTATTAAAATTTTGTAACCTATTACTATGGAAAGGGAAAGATTTATTCATGATTATATCTAAATATTGCTGGATTAATATTAGGAATATGTGAGATGTTTTAAGTATATTTTTTGGTTTTTTTTTCTAGCCTTAGATTTATTCTTAGGAACTAGCCTTAGATTTATTCTTAGGATATTAAATTGGGGTTTGAAAAGATACTGAATCTGTCAATCATCCTTATAGTTAAACTTAGTGATTAGTAAATAGCATCTGTGATTGTTTCCTCAGTGACCTTGAACTTTCTAGTTTTTGTTTTTCTTAGAGTGGTGAGCAATTTCATCTTTATGTTGTGATGGGGGAAATATGGACACATTAAGCTTAATGCAAGTTCATTTTTTATACAGAAATATATTTGTTATAAACCACTGTGTGTTCGGTATATTCATCTTATGGACTGTAATTTGTTATATAACAATGCATTGAGGTTAAAAGGAGGAATTATAAAAAGGGCTCTAGTTTTCAGATTCACAAACTAGGACTAGGGTAACACTGTTAAATAGCCTCTGAATATCATGATATGATTTGTAGTCACTGTAGCCAGTTAGTAGGAAAAGGTGGGTTAGTTCTAGTACTAATGTGTTATTGGTCAAGCCATTTATCACAACCTTAAATCTTCCCATCTGTTAATGAGAGATGAATGAAACGTTCCTTTTATGTTTCTCAACTTTTTATTTTTCTCACTTTAGTGAAAACTGATTCACAAATTTTGAGTCTCCTGATTTTTTTAAAAAAATCAACTAATGAAGCAGTACACAATACTTACAAATTAATACAATTAATATAGAAACTAAGTTCTAAGTTTACAGAATGACTGGAAATAGATGAAATAAATTGGAAAGTCTTCTGAAAAGTTAGTGGGGGTAAGGGCAGGAGGAACATGTTAACAGAATGAGATGTGTCTGCAGAGGTGGCAGTCAGATGAGGACAAGACAAGAGATTTGACTGACTGGTGGCTTCATGTTGGGGAATAATGAGAAATGAGGTTTTTGCGATAGAAGAGTGTCCTTTAGTCAAGTGCCTTGAAAGTCATCTAAAGAATTTGAAATTGCTTGGTGTTTAATGATGGCTGCCCATGGAGAGTGTGTCCTTTAGTCGAGTGCTTGAAAGTCATCTAAAGAATTTGAACTTGCTTGGTGTTTAATGATGACTGCCCATGGAGTGCTTCTGAGCTAGGGAATCAAAGAATGGAATTTATGTGAGAAAAATATTCTTGTTGCTTTTAAGAAGATGAAACTAGAGTGAAGAGCTTAAAAATTTCACGGAGCGATGAACTTGGTAAGATTACACCTCAAAGAATGAGCTACTTTTGATAGGAAAGCCATGGCCTTTGAAAATTAACTACACTGTCTAGGTTATTTGGATTTTCAGTGAATATGTTAAAAGATAATCTTATGGACTAAGCCCAAGAATATATAAGCTTTATTTTCTTGCCTTAGAGTCCTTAGGTCAATGAGAAAGATAGGTATTTTTGTTGGGGGGGAGGAGATCAGAATCTTACTTTTTTTTTTTTTTTATGGAGGAAAGAGGAAAGAGTTTATTTCACCTTACAGCTTACAGTCAGTTACATCATGGAGGGAAGCCAAGGCAGGAGCTCTGGACAGGAACCTGGAGGCAGGAGTTGGAGCTTATTTTGAAATGCTTTCTGAGTCTTACATATGCTCTTTAACAGTCATTACGTCAGCATGGTCTGCTTATAGAACATTGCTGTTTTGTTAATGGGTTTTACCTCTCGTATATGTAGGTGTCCCACATTAACGTAGAAGCCTTCTGTTTATTTTTAAATTTAGCCCTCATAGTCAGACAGCTATGACATTTGCATGAATGACTACTCTTCGTGTGGATATTGAAAAACCCAAATTAAGCCATTTCCGTGACTCCTTCCCACCGCAGTCTTTTGTAGCACTGGTGAACCTACTGTCCTTTCCTGCGGTGCTTGAGTTGACGAGCAATCAGGATCTTCCTAATAAGGCAGAATATTCTCTTCGTGAAGTTCCAACCTGTATTATTGTAAGTCACTTCTTCCAATTTTTCTCTTTTCAATCGGTAGTAAAGTATAATTTGACAGTGACAACACTTATCTCTGGATTATCAGTTTTTGAATTATCTATAAATGGCCACTTTGGTCTAGGTCTTGCAACAGTTCCTTTACTTATGAGAATGCAAAGCTAAACCTCGCCGACCAGAAAGCAACTTGACGTACATGTAAGTATATATATAAATTGAGTTTTAGATGCTTTATTAGGTAATTAGCCATACTAATGCTGCTCTTTCATTGGCCAGGATAATTAGGAATAAATTACATCCAAGGGGTCCCAATATATTTTCAACCTATATTTTAATGAACTATGTGTTATGCCCATGAGGGCACTATATACTTATTTAATTTGAAATTTAATTCATATTCAAAATTGCTCACATAATTATCTTGGCATAAGTATTAGGGGAATTTTAGTTCATTATGTTTGAATGTTTATGAATTACAAAAACACAAATGAGTATGTACGCATGTGCTCACACATGGATTAGTAAAAAATTACTTATGAGGAAATTCTATTATTAATCATGACTTTTTTCCTTATCATTTTGTGTTAATGTTTTTAGAAATGGTTTTGTCCTTTTTAATACTTTTAACTTTTGTTAACTCTAGATATTTGAATTCTTAAAATCTTTTTCTACCATGAGACATTTTTGGTAATCTATATGAAATAAAATGTAAATGTTAATTGCAGATATTTTCATCGTATTGTGTTACTCCATCTTTGTGAAGGGTCTGTCTTGTAAAATTACTTTAATTATGTTATTTTTTCTCACCTATTTTCATCATCTACAATTATTTATAATATCATTGTCCTTGTTTCAAATGCTCGGAATAAACATTATTGTAACAGCAAAAAAAAAAAAAAATCTCAGGCAGCAAAAATAAAAAAAACTAGTAAAGATAGATACTTCTTTTGTTAAATCTTAATCTAATTCTCTTCTATTCGTAAGGTATTTCAGTTGTAGCTGATTCTTTTTATCTCCGTGCTTAAGTGCCTTCACAGTTAGCGTCCTTATTCTGCTACTTAACTGTGTGACTGAACAAGTTAGATCATAGTTTTTCCTTCCATTAAATGAAGGCACTATTTAAGTGTAATTCATATACAGAAGGACAAATACTATGTGATACCACTTATATGATGAACTATAATAGTCAAATTCATTAGAATAAAGTATAGAATTTGGTTGCCAGGGCTGGGCAAGGGAAGCCAGGATAATATAGGATTATACAAAATATATCCTAAAGATTTATTGTACATAGTGCATGTAATTAACAATACTGTATTATGTACTTAAAATTTGTCAAGAGAGCAGATTTATGCTACATATACTTTTCTGCCACACAAAAAAGATGAGAGGAAACCTTTGGAGTTCATGGATGGAGGTGTCGTCAGGGTTAAACTCCTTCCCAGGGGTCTAGGAAGACCCCTCCATTGCCTCCCAAGCTTCTGCTATTTTAGTCATTCCATGCCTTGTTGCTTCCTGGCTCTAGTTCTATGATTCCATTGTTACAGGACCATCACCTCTTCCTTACTGAAATCTCTCTCATTAGCATACTCATCTCAAATTTAAGGTGCTTCTGGATAATCCAGGATGATCAAGATTTTTGACTTAATTGTCTCTCCAAAGACCCTTTCCAGATAGGGTGACAGCCATAGGTTCTGGGGACTAGGCCACAGACATGTTTTAGAGGGGTTGGTATTAACTCATGATATACAACAGTGGCCTTTGTTTCACTTCCCTATGATGAAAAATCCCCAGGAAAGGCCTCACTGGGTTAGTTTTCCTCACAGCCTAGCCAGTAGCAATCCATTCACTGAAGGAGTAGAAATATTGGGGCCTTGTCATTGACCTTTTCCTTGCCCTGCACTTACTTCCTAAAAGTAGAATGAGCGTGGCCACTGGACAGCTGACTAGCATAGGCCATCAGCTGTGTGTCTGCTAATACAGGCTTCCTTATGTTTCTAGCCTTGGATTTAGTCTGGTCTGCTAGTTTATTGAACATGTTCTCAATCTGGACAGTAGCTTTTGAAAATAAATAGAATTTCTGACAACTGTTTGCTCATTTGAGGCTTTCCACTAGCTTGTTACTGGGACCCACAGCTTGATTTAAGAAGCTGATTCTCTTACTGATACATGTTGTGGTGCTTAGAAACCAAAGCTCCCAGTAAGACAGGCTTCTCAGGAGCTTTGCTTTCTTCCCTAAGTGGTGATATATCAATGTAATCTCCTTTGAAGAAGAAATTATGTACTGTAACATTTGTTCTTTGAAAATGCATTATCATTGATGGATTGCTTCAGTCTCTTCTTCCATTAGCTTTTTGGTGATAATGTCTCTTTTGATCATTTTTGTTCGTGCGGTACCTAAGACTTAGGTTCAGATCCAGAACTTCAGATCTACCAGATGCCATTAGCTATCACATAAGCTTAGCTTTATATTCAGATATCCGTGTGACTTAAACTACTAAAGAGGGAAGTAGGGCAGCTAAGGAGAATGTGACTGTGAGGCTGGGAAGATGAAAATGAATTGTGGAGCTCAGCTTATTACGTGATGCTTGGAACAAGGAGTGCCTAACAAGAGTGGACAACAATGACAGACCTTTGAAACCTAGATCTTTTCATTCCTCATTGTTCATTAATATTTGCTTATTTAAAGTTATATGCTGATTTAAAGTTATATACTTTTTAAGTATTACTTACAAATTTCAATAAGATATCAATAGAATTGTGAATTTTTTCTTTTTTTGGTCTTTTTGAGAGAGGGTCTCCTTGTAGACCCTGGAACTAGTGGCCTGGAACTCACTATGTAGACTGGGTGACCTTGAACTCACAGAGATTGGCCTGTTCTGCCTCCTAAGTGCTGGGATTAAAGGCATGTGCCTCCATGCCTGGCTCTATGAAATTGAGTTTTGTTTGTTTTTTGTTGTTTTGGGTGAATGTATTTTTTGATATAGGATCTCACATAGCCCAGGCTAGCCTCCAACTCACTATGTAGCCAAGGATATCCTTGAACTTCTGATCCTCCTGTCTCCAGCTCATGAGTGTAGGGATTATAGGAATAAGTCACCACACCTAGTTTATGTGATGCTGAGGATCAAACTCAAGGGCTTTGTACATGCTAGGCAGACACTTTTCTACTTAGCTACATCCCTAGTCTGAAAAATGCATTAGGTGTTTGGTATGAGTTTTTTACTAGGCTAAGTTACCCCAGGTCCATTTTTACTATGTGTGATTAGTATTTTTCATTTTGTTTCCATGGCTTTTCCTCCTTACGGAGGACTCATTTCCTCACCTCTTCCTCATCTGGTGATGCCGTCTTGCTATTATCGTTCACAAAAGTCTCCATAAATTTCATTTGACTTTGTTTCCTTCCTAATGCATTATTCACAGCAATATCTTGCATTTAAAACCAGAGAATAGAAAGCTTTGTGGTGAGGAAAAAGAGCAATGATAGAGACAAGTGTTTGTCTATAAAGAAAATTATTTGGTCTGTACCCCCAAATGTACACAAAAACAGGGCTTTGGTTGTTTTGTTTTTGTTTGTTTGTTCTTTGTGTTTTTGAGACATAGTCTGACATTGTAGCTAGTCCGGCCCAGAACTTACTGCATATCTCAGCTGGTCTCAAACTCAAGGCACTTCTTCTGCCTTAACCTCTTGAATGCACGGATTATAGGCATGAGCCATGATGTCAGACAAAAAGTAGGGCTTTATACGAAAGCTTTCAGACATGGTTCAGAATTGTAGGTAGATTAATACTGTCAGTGTTTGGAACAGCTGGTGGCACTTAGATCGTGAGGTTCTCTCTACACTTGCCTCTGGTTTGGAGGGATGGTACATAATGGAAAATCTTGAGGAATTTTAAGATCGTCAATGCTGAACTCATAGCCTTAATTGGTCTTACATGGAGCCTGGACATGCATTTAACTATCTATCATCTATCTGTCTGTCTTCTATTACCTGTCTGTTAGCCCTTCCTTCCCTCCCTCCTTCCTTCCTTCCTTCCTTCCTTCCTTCCTTCCTTCCTTCCTTCCTTCCTTCCTTCCTTCCTTCCCTCTTTCATCTGTCTTCCATCTATGTATCTACTGTGTATGTATGCATCTATCTTCCATAATCTTCTATTGTCTATCTTCTATCATGTATCTGTATCTATCTTCTATCTATCTATCTATCTATCTATCTATCTATCTATCTATCTATCTATCATCTATCTATTATCATCATCTATCATCAATCATCTGCCAATTATCTTACCTTTTTTAGTGTTCAACCAGGATTATAAACCACTGCTTTATACTAGCTAGAGAGATTCTTAACTAAATCTCAGTTACTAGATAAAAATATTCATATCTTCTACTTTTGCTTCACATTTGTGGATTTCATACTTGTTTTTCAGATAACTTTATTTTAGTTTATTTATTATTTTTATTTTGTGTATGCATGTATTGCCTGTGTGTAGGTAAATGCACTCATGTCGTGCAATGCCCGTGGAGGACAGAAGAGGCCATGTGGGTGCTGGGATTTGAACCTGGGTCTTCTGCAAGAAAAGACAGTGTTCTTAACTGCTGAGCCATCTTTCCAGCTCCCTGTTTTCAGGGAACTTTATGTTGGGGGCAGTTTTATCTTTATTTTACTGTACAATCTGCTCAACGCTCTAAAGTTGGGTATAGTTTAATGATTCTCCACTTTAATTGAACATTACTTGCGGTTTTAGAACTTTTCTGAATCATAATGCCCAGGCTTCATCTGAACCAGTAAGGTCAGAACCTCTTGGGTACGACCTAGAACATCTATGTCTCCCTCAGCCTCCTGTGGCTTCTAGATAATTTCAGTAAATCCAAATTTGAGAAGCACAAATCTGGATGACTATTTATTGGCTTAATCATATTCTAATAACTTCTGTTAGATAGAGTCTCAGTGCTTCTTTTATTTTTTTCAGGATATAATTGATAGGCTTATCATTTTGAACTCTGAAGCTAAGATTCGTTCTTTATTGAATTATGAACAGTCACACATCTTTGGTCTAAGGTAAGGAACTAAATTTTAAACATATTTTACATATTTCAAAAACTAAGCATTTGTTTTACATGTTTTTTGTATGTTTATGTGGCATGTGTGTATATGTATTCATGTGTGTGTATATGTGGGCAGGGAGTACATGTCCATGTAGAGGCTGGAGGGTGATGTCACATGACTTCCTCAGGTACTCTCCACCTCAGTTTTTGAGACAGAATCTGTCACTAAATCTGGAGCTCACAGATTTGCCTAGAGTGTGGAGCCAGTGAGCTCTGGGCAATCATCTATCTCTGTCTACCTGCCAAGGTTACAGAAGTGCATCCAAGTTTCTGTGGGTGCTAAGGATCAAACTCAAGTCCTCATGTTTGTGAAGAAGTACTTAATCCACTGAGCCGTCTCTCCAATCATCATGTTCTGTGTACTTCTACAAGTACACAAGTGGGTTAATTTTAAAGTCATATTGAAAGATAATTTGTCATTCTGTGACATTATAGACAAAGCATATTATAGCATTTAGGTTTTGATACTATAGTCTGTCTAAATTTAGATTTTGTGTCACTGGTGGATTCCATTTTTGTTCAATGTATAGGGGTATGTTGGGGACTGTTTTCATTGGGTTTACTCAGGAGTCACATGACAATTCATTGGACTGATTCTTTATTAGACCCTGTCCATAATAAAGCCCTGAAACAAAACTGGACATGAATGAATGAATGATCTGGAGGCTCAGATTTTACTCCTTTGTATTGATCATTAATCTTCAGCTTTACTTGTCTTGAGGTTTAAATCTTTCTGGTCGAGTTCATATTCCGTGACATTTTATTTAGAATGTTCAAATGGGAATAAAGCCACTTGGCAGGAAGACAGAGACCTAGGACATCCTCAGCATTTGGGTCATATGTAGACGCACAGCTGACTTTCCCACCTATTAATGACTACCTTTAAAAGCAGCTGAATTAAAGAGAATTGCCATTTTCATAGGTTCATGATTGTTTTCTACTTTGTACTATCAAAGAATCTTTCTCAGGCATGAGGGAGGTCACTGATAATCTGCTGCCTAAGAAGTAAAGCAAGTGCTTTTCAAAAACCAGAATTGTCTGGTGCTGGTGTATTTTATATGTTTACACTTTTTTTCCTGTTCATTCATAGCTGAACTTCATTTTTGACTTTCTGGTCAAAGAAGATATAAAAGAGCTGCAGCTATATAGCTTTTGGTATAGTGTGTCCTTCTCTCAAAATGTGTCTTTGCATTAATTTTTATAGCATCAGATACATCACATAGTAAGCAGTGGCTGAGGATAGTAGGTAAAAAACCCATTCAGTAGAATTTTCTTTTTTCTACCTTTTGTAGTAATAGGACATAGATTTTGGCTTGTTCTTACTGATATTCTAAGTAAATTTTCCTTCCTTGTATATCCTTTTTAAATTTATTTGTTGTGTGTGTATGTGTTTATGCCCTACAGCATATATGTGAAAGTCAGAGGACCACTTCTGGAAGTTGGTTCTCTCTTTCTACCATGTGGGTTCTGGGGATTGAGCTCAAATTGTCAGCTTGGCGACAAGTGCCTTTACCTACTTAGCCATCCCCCATTTCTGCTATATGTTTCTTTTGTAATTTTTTCTTGAGGCATTCTTTAGGGAAAAGACTTACTGCTAGAATTTTGCTGTTATATTAAAAAATTATAAATGAAAGCTTATAATAACAATTTTCATAATGCATTCTTTCTCATAGTATATAAATGGATTCATTTTGTCCTGTAGACAATAACATCCATTGCTGATGAATAGAATAGTGCAGTATGGCTATTTGCTTCAGTGGTCCTGGGGCTGGTGTACTCATTGTGTGAGGTGGAGTCACAGTCAAATGTGTGTAAAATACAGGACATATACGTTATTTTCCTTACAGAGCTGTGAGAACTATATATGAAAAAGATAAAGGGCATAAAACAGTGCCTGGCATATAGCAAGCACTATAAAAGTATCATAGAAACAGTACTAACAAATAGTACCTTGTGTATTTCTTTACACTTGCTCTATTATATATTTTACTATGAAATAAATTTTGCCTTGCCAGTAGTCTTCCATATTGCATAGTGATTTGTCATTTTATAGTATCAGTGTTCAGGAAGAGAAAATGAAAGATATTACTTTCTAAAAAAGTTTGTATGTTACGTTTTTGACAAGTTTTTTTTTTTCAGTTATTGTATTAGTTACTTTTCTCCTTGGCTGCCAGAAAATACCTGATAAAAGCAAGTTAAGGGGGGAAGGGTTTATTTTGCTCACTGTTTGTGGGCACATTCCTCGATATTGGGAAAGGCATGGTGGCATGAGCTTGAGGCAACTAGGCATATTGCATCTGTATTTAGGGAGCAGACAGAGATGAATGCTGCTGTGAGCAAGCTTTCTGCTTCCTACGCAGTCCAACACCAAGCCCATGGAATGGCGCTGCCTTCATTTAGGGTGCATCTCCCCATTTCAATGAACCTAATCTAGAAAATTCCTCACAGATATGTCCAGAGACTTATCTCTTGGGTGATTGTAGATCCTGTCAGTAGATAATGAATATTAGGCATCACAATAATAAATTTTATTTTCATTGTACTTTGAAATGCTCTGACAGCCTTTATTTTTTTTTTAAGACTTCTAATTTTGTTTATGTCTGTGTGGGAGTATGTACATGAGTTCAGTTGCTCACAGAAGTCAGAAGAGGGTGTTGAGTCCCCTAGATCTGGAGTTACAGGTAGTAGTGAGATGCCCAATGTGGGTGCTGAGAACCAAACTTGGGTGTTCTGGAAGGTGCTCTCTACCACTGAGCCATCTCTCCAATCCCATCTCATAGTCTTTAATTCAGTCCCATTATTCAGTGAAATATTTTAAATTAGGTAATACTTTTATTTTTTAATCATTTCAATTTACTGTTGATTGGCCATTGAGGTCTAATGGTGATAGATCATAGCATAGTGTTGTATATGAAACTTGTGCTTCTCTGTATTTTAGATTTTTACCTGGATCATTCTCTTTTTTTAAAAAAAATAAATATTTTTATTTTAGTGTATGAATATATTGTCTACATGTGTGTAAGTACACCTATATCATGCAATGCCTGAGGAAGTCAGAAGGTGTTGGATTCCCTTGGAAATGGAGATGGTTGTTAGCTGCCATGTGGGTACTGGGAATCAAACCTGGGTCCGCTACAAGAATTATCAGTGCTCTTAACTGCTGAGCCATCTCTCCAGCCCTATGGATCTTTCTCTTTTATGGTCACAATACCATGTTTGTGGTTACACCTCTCTTGTACCATCCCCTGAGAGGTTGCCTCATGAATGTGTCTGACTTGTGTTCTTGTACCAGTCCCTTTTGTTTTTCTCCACCATGAAACTCTAGAACTAGCATCAGTGGTAAGTCTGATAGAACTTGTGTGATACAACACTAAGATGAGGCTCATATGAAGCTTAGTGAATGTGAATTTCCATGTTTCGCAGCATCATATATACTTACAGTTCTGAATTCTGATTTGCCAAGATGTCCTCATAGAGCTTGCACTGTCATTGACTCATGCTTGAGAATATTGCTTCTTTGATTAGTCCCTGTGCTCTTTCACCTTTTCTTCTTCACACCTCTTATTTCATCCTGTACTATTCCTACCAGGGCGAAGAAGTCTCTTCATATGTCCATCTTACAGCAAGGCAGCACTAAACACTGAAAGAAGCTGCCCTTGAGCTTCCATCTCCCTACAGCTGTGCTCTTTGTCTGCCTCCCAAGAGGGCAAAGCAAGTCTGTAAAGTTGTCCTCACTAGCTCATCTGTTTTCTCTTTTGCCTGCTTCAAGCAGACTTTGAATTTGTAACCTCTTCAGAGCTATTCATCCTGCCTCATTTAAGATCATGTATAGCTTCCATGTTAGTGTCTCTAATGCATTCCTCTTTGTTGATTCTCATCTTACTGTAACTAGCAATAGTGTTTGAGATCTTGGGAATTTTTTTCCCTCTGTATAAAAAATTGTCTTTGTGGCAGGTCATGGTGGCTTATGCCTATAATCTAGCACTTTGGAAATTGAGGCATGAGGATCAGGGATTGTTTAAGGTCATCCTTGGCTACATAGTGAATTTGAGGATAGCCTGAGGTGTATGAGACTTTGACTCCCAAAACCCTAAAACAACAAAAAAATTTCTCTTGCTTCTGTGATACTGCTATCTGCCTGTGCTTGTCATTTCTGCCTCATTTTGTGACTAGCCTCAGAATGCAATACAGTGGACTTGGTCTCAGGCCAGGGCCCACTTTATTTTTTCTTTCTTTTTCCCCCTCTGTACTCTGCTTCTAGTTTTTTTTTTTCACATTTGGCATTCTGACATTCACAGGCATAAAAATGTAATATGTCTCAAAACGAACTCTGAAATCTCCCATTCCTCTTCCCACAAAAACAAACAAAATGAATCATTTGTTTCTGTCTCATTAAGTAGCCCATCCATCTCTTCAGTTGCTTAATCCTGGATGTCATCTTAATTTTTTTCTTTGCTTATCAAGCAGTAATTTATCTTTATTATAAAGAAATTAGCCAATGTAGGAAATTGAGTATAATAAATTAAATGAAATTTCTCTTAATTCATAGTGTTATTATTAACATTGAAGAAAATTATCCTACACACTGCATGTGCGTGTAGGTAGAAGGAAAGACATAGAAATAAATTCAGCTATGAAGATGGAATCAGAGTTACCACTTTAAATTCTAACTCAGTTTTATAGAGAAGAAAAAGACACCTTACATGGAAAAAAACTGCTGAATTTCAAATAACTGTTTTTTGTTTTTTTTTTTTTCCTACTTTAGGAAGTACTTTCCCCAAGATTTCCTGTAAGGTTAAGAAATAGATTATGTAAAACTCCTCAAGAGATTGGAGCATTATATTTCACTTTAGATAGCACTGACTCTCTACCATGAAAATTGGGGACATTCATGCCTTCCCTGGCGTCTTTCTTCCCTCGTCTCTATGTCAGTTTATTTTGTATTGTTGGAACAAAATCTTCGAGGGTGAGTAATTAGGAAGTTCTAATTGCTTCATGATTCTTGTGACTGGATGGTCTAAACAGTTTGGTGCTGGCATCCTGGCCATAGCTCCTGTGTTACAACATGGAAGACAAATGTAAAGGGGACCAGCCTTGCACAGAAGGGAGTGTGCATGTGGCAAGACCTAACTGTGAACTAGACTTGCTCTTTTTATTACAATTAAGGTCTTATGATAAAACTAACCAGGGCCTCATAGGACCTGAAATGGCCCCAAAGGGAACCCATTTCTGAGGGTGGCATCCCGTTGACCTAGTCATCTTATTCTAGGCCTCACATGTGAAAAGTTCCAGTATTTTCTGGGAGCCAAGCTTCTAAAAGAATCCTTGGGAGATGCAGTCAAATGATACCTCTATTAAAATATACTCCCTTTGCCTAATTCTGAACTGCCTGCATGAATCAGCAACCATCTGTACCTCTCGACCTGTAGAGAGTAAGTTGATCTGAACTTCTCAGTGTAGTCCCTTTTATATATAACATTTGCAATTTTTTTTTTTTTTTGGTCTTTCTGAGACAGGGTCTCCATGTAGCCCCAGCTGTCCTGGAACTCACTATGTAGACAGGCTGGTCTTGAACTCACAGAGATCCGCCTGCCTCTGCCTCCTGAGTGCTGGGATTAATGGTGTGTGCCACCACGCCCAGCTATTTATTTTTATTTTGTGTATATGAGTACTTTGCCTGCCTGTAACTGCATCCATGTCGTGCAGTGCCCTTGGAGGGCAGAAGAGGGTGTTGGATCCTCTCAAACTGGAGTTATAGACAGTTGTTAGCTACCATGTGGGTGCTGGGAATTGAGCCTGGGTCCTCTGCGAGAACAGCCTGTACTCTCAACCTCTGAGCCATCTCTGTAGCCCCATTTGTAATTTTTAAATTTACCCTTCTCCACTTTGCTCTGCTCATGGTTACTGGACACTTAAGAGCTGTGTTCTGTGCTGGATGAGGGTGATGAATAACCAGGAAATATGATGCGCTTTTCATTCTCTTTAACCTTATTGTTTAGTGAGCATTCATATACTAAGATAACAAAAAGTGAGGTAATTAATATGGAAAAGAAACATTGGTAAGAAGCCTTCCTCCACCTTCACATATTGGAAAAGCAGAGCCAGATAACCTTTGCAGGCCCTTCTGGAATGTATCGCCACCTGCCCTGTGACATCATCTTTCACCCTTGTTCAGCCTAAACTAATGCTCTGAGGAATGCAGACTCCTCATCTCCCTGAAGCACAGTGCTATTGGTTGTCTCTGTACCTCTTCTCTTTTTTCTTTTTTTAAAAAATATCTTATTTTATTTTATGTGTATGAGTGTATTGCCTGCTTGTATGTGAGTGCACCCATGTCATGCAATGCCACAGAGGTCAGAAGAAGGCTTTGGATTCCTCTGGAACTAGAGTTAAGGATGGTTCATAGCCACTATGTGGGTGCCGGGAATCGAACCCGAGCCCTCTGCAAGAGCAGTCAGTGCTCTTAACCGCTGAGCCATCTCTCCAGCTCCCATCTCTGTACCTTTTTCTAATTTCTTCAAGATTGCCTTAATTTTTCCAGGTACATAAATTGAACCCTATCCTGCAAAGCAAATCTTGCTCAGTGAGTTGCTTACAGCATATTCTGATCATCTCTTTTCCCTGCATGGCCTTTATGGCCCAAGGTGAAATAATACTCCTCCCTTACTAAGTTTTCAACTTCCAAAGGGAGTATGTTTTCTTATTTCTTGTCTACCCCATTACCAGGTACTTTTTGATTGTTTAACATTTTTTTTCAAAATATATTGATAAAAGAATTGCCTGGAGGGGCTGGAGAGATGGCTCAGCAGTTAAGAACACTTGTCCTTCCAGAGGACCTGGTTCAATTCCCAGAACCCACATGGTGGCAAACAGCCGTCTGTAGATCCAGTTCCAGACAATCCAACATCCTCTTCTGACCTCCCCAGGACATTGCACCCATGTAGTACCCTTACATACATGTAGATAAAACAGTCATATACATAAAATAAAAAGAATAAAATATTAAAAGTAAACTGATCTTTCCCAAGGTTAAGCAGTTTAATCAGTTTAAAGTGTTCTTAATCATCTGTAGGATTTGAATTTTAACTTTAATCTGATTTCTTGGGATGTTATATTTCAACATTAAAAGCTGTATATTTCATGGGGAAAGAGCATTCAATATTAACAGTTTTCATTTTATCAGACTACAAATTAATTTTTTTATAGGATGAAGAATTGCTTTAAAAAAACAATTTAACGCACGTTTATACATTTAAACTTAATATAATTTAAAATATTAATTCTCTAAATGGGGCTGGAAAGATGGCTCAGCGGTTAAGAACACTGATGTTCTTGTGAAAGACCCGGGTTCAAATCCCAGCCCCCGATGGCAGCTAACAACTGTCCATAACTCCAGTTCCAGGGTACCTAACAGCCTCTTCTGTCCTTTGCAGACATTGCACTACATGGGTGTACTCACATACATGCAGGCAATACACATATACACATAAAAATAATAATAATGAAAAAAATTTTAAATTTAATTCTCTAAACTTTACTTTTTTCTTTTTCTCACTAACACTGTAATGTCACCAGGCCTAGGAGCACTCAGGAGGCAGATGCAGACAGATCTGAGTTCCAGTCCAGCCTGAACTACATAGCCTGTTCTAAGCCCGCCAGGGCTACACAGTGAGACATTGTCTCAAAGCAATAACAGACAAAAAACAAACTGTAGAGTTATGTTTTAATTCTCTTCAAAACAAAAGTAGGGAATCTATACTTATGAAACTGCTTATGAATTAATGGTTTTCTGTTATTTTTACATTTATCTACCAACAATAAATTTTGTATACAACATAGCAAATTGTTTTATGAGTAGTTTTTTTTTTTTCCCAAAAAGACAGGAAATGCTTTATTTAGGTCACCAAAAACAATGTTTTACAGAAATAATGTTTTACAAAGCAATGCATAGCTGCAAATTCTCTTTTGCCATCAAAATCCTTTCCCTCTAAAATACTTTGAGACTCCTTTGTGGTGTCCAAGTAAAAACTCACATCTGTTGAACATAGTCCCTGACTCTCATCATGTGAATGAAGGCAATTTTCAAAACATCATATTTAATGCTAAGAACTAAACAATGTGTTTCTCGCTAACAACCAGCACTGTCTACCTGAACAACCTCGCCTCATGTATAGATCATGAATGTTTCCCTATGAGCGCAGCTATGGGCACATATAGCCTGTGCAACAGCAAGTTACCCTGTAATACACTCAGGTACCCAAGAAGTAATTATTTTTAATAAATGAACTTCACCTCCTTACAGGTGTGGAAAACCACACCCAGCTCAGGAAGTAATCGATAACAGAAATAATCACAGTATGTAAGCAACTCCAATAACAGAACCTGTCTCTGTGAAGATGACCCCTGCCACCCCACCCCATACCATCCTGAGGTGTGTCCACCATTTTATTAGTTCTTTACCTGGAACCCAAAATACAAAGCCAGACAGAGCAGCTGTTCCTAGAGCCATCCAAACTTTAATAAATTGCCCCAGGGTTCTTGGTGCATCAGTGTGCATCACAAACGGAGACGTAAGCTGACTCTGGGAAGAAGTCCTCATGGAATTCTGCCAAAAACCTCAGAAACAGATCAAAGTGCTTAAGCAATGCCTTCCGGTTCTTCTCAGAAAAGGACATCTTTCCAAGGATTTCTGGAAGTTTTACAAACAATCGCAGCAAATGTTGTGCACCATAAATGCATGAGGGGGGTGGTGGCCGGTCTCCTGGGGGGTAACTATCAGGCACAAGCTTCCAGGAAAGGATCTCGCTTATTTTGTCAGTTTTCCCTTCGAAGCCAGCAAACACTGCACTTTCTTGGTTGCTTGGAGTCAGAGGGATGGAGGAAGATGGTCTGCTATGCACAGGGGTGTTCTTCTGCAAGTGCAGGAACAGCTTGGGTGTGCTGGGGGACTTGCCCTGCCCTTGCTTGGACTGAGGTAAGGCCCTGCTCTCAGACAGCCTGTGGCCAGATGTTCTTCTGCAAGTGCAGGAACAGCTTGGGTGTGCTGGGGGACTTGCCTTGCCCTTGCTTGGACTGAGGTAAGGCCCTGCTCTCAGACAGCCTGTGGCCAGGGGTGCTATGGCGCCTGGAGCGCCTCAAGGACCGCATTGCTTTGGGCTCTGCTCTGCGCCTCTTGAGGGTGATGGGCTCACTCACAGGCTGACGACTCTTTGTGGATTGTGGCGTGGATAGATTGGACCAAGGCGAGTCAGAAGAGAGCTCCTCCTCACTCCTGTTGGTATCCATGGAACTTTTCTTAATAGGAAGAAAGAATGTAGACGAAGCCACCTTTTTATACTGAGCCTGTTCCTGCGGGTAGAGCAGAAGCAGCGGCAGAGTGTAATCAAAGGTGATTCGCAATCCGTCCACCATCTCCTTGCAAAGGTCCACGTTCTTCTCGGCTGGGATGCAGGGCGCATGCACCATGGCCTGTTGCTGATGGGGCCTCTCATTGGCCGAAATGGCTACATTTATAGCGAAATGCCTCACGTAGGATTCCAAAATGGCCCGGATGTTGGTCTGGCAGGGCAGTTTCAGTAACCGTTTCCTCCTGTTAACGTAGAAACGGTCATCATGCAGCTGCTTCCTGAGCACCTCAGGGATGTCTATAGTGATGGCTCGCCCGTCCATTTCCCTTCTTGTGTGCTGCTCCAGTTTTTGTCCCCTTAGTCCGTTCCCTGTCCCTCTCTTCACTTATTTCCTCCTCTCACTTTCTTTCACCAACGTTGTCAGAGGACCGGCGATCTGGTGTTCATTATTTTCTCTGTTTTCTGACGGTCTGCACCCTGGCGCTTGCTCCTCTTGTGCACCTCACGCCAGCTGCTGTCCTTGCGCATTGCGTGAGCTATAATCTGTGACGCTCATCCGCTGCAGGGACACGTGATCTTGAGCTGCCAGTCTGTCTGAGCTTCCGCCCCAGCCATTCAATTCTCTGTTTTCTGACGGTCTGCACCCTGGCGCTTGCTCCTCTTGTGCGCCTCACGCCAGCTGCTGTCCTTGCGCATTGCGTGAGCTATAATCTGTGACGCTCATCCGCTGCAGGGACACGTGATCTTGAGCTGCCAGTCTGTCTGAGCTTCCGCCCCAGCCATTCAAATGGATCAGATATTCTGGAACTTTCTGCCCTTTTTGCCTTGCCCAGTGATGAACTTGGTATCGCACTGCACTCCTGCCTTGGTGGAGTCAGGCCAGAAGCACAATACTTTCTTCTCAGTGGAGTTGAAATTTATATTTTCTTTAAGCATGACCTGTAATATGACTTTAGGATGAAGGATAACATATATTTATTTTAGAAATTTAGATTAGAAATTGACTTTCAACAAATAATAAACATAGTTC